ACACACACACTGTCCCCTATACACACACATTGCCCCACACACTGCCCCCCATACACACACTCTGCCCCCCCATACACATACACTCTACACACATACACTATCCCCATACACACACACTGTATGGACTCAGCAGTCTGTGTGTGTGTATGGACTCAGCAGTCTGTGTGTGTGTGTGTGTGTGTGGGGACATAGCAGTCTGTGTGTGTGTGTATGTGTGTGTGTATGGACATAGCAGTCTGTGTGTGTGTGTGTGTGTGTGTGTGTGTATGACTCAGCAGTCTGTGTGTGTGTGTGTGGCACCCTGCTTGTGTGTGTATGGACCTCCGTGCAGTTTGGTGTGTAAGGACTCAGCAGTCTGTGTGTATGGACCTGTGTGTGTGTGTGTGTGTGTGTGTATGGACTCAGCAGTTTGTGTGTGTATGGACCTCAGCAGTCTGTGTGTGTGTGTGTGTGTGTATGGACTCGGCAGTCTGTGTGTGCATGGACTCAGCAGTCTGTGTGTGTCTGTGTATATGTGTGTATGGACTCAGCAGTCTGTGTGTGTGTGTGTGTATATGTGTGTATGGACTCAGCAGTTTGTGTGTGTATGGACCTCAGCAGTCTGTGTGTGTGTGTGTGTGTGTATGGACTCGGCAGTCTGTGTGTGCATGGACTCAGCAGTCTGTGTGTGTCTGTGTATATGTGTGTATGGACTCAGCAGTCTGTGTGTGTGTGTGTGTATAGACTCAGCAGTCTGTGTGTGTGTGTATGGACTCAGCAGAGTCTGTGTGTGTGTACGGACTCAGCAGAGTCTGTATGTGTGTACGGACTCAGCAGAGTCTGTGTGTACGGACTCAGCAGAGTCTGTGTGTGTGTACGGACTCAGCAGAGTCTGTGTGTGTGTGTGTACGGACTCAGCAGAGTCTGTGTGTGTGTACGGACTCAGCAGAGTCTGTGTGTGTGTACGGACTCAGCAGAGTCTGTGTGTGTGTATGGACTCAGCAGTCTGTGTGTGTGTATGGACTCAGCAGCCTGTGTGTGTATGTACTCAGCAATCTGTATGTGTACGGACTCAGCAATCTGTGTGTGTATGGACTCAGCAGTCTGTGTGTGTGTATGGACTCAGCAGTCTGTGTGTGGGGACTCAGCAGAGTGTGTGTGTTTGTGTACTCAGCAGTCTTTGTGTGTTTGTGTACTCAGCAGTCTTTGTGTGTTTGTGTACTCAGCAGTCTTTGTGTGTGTGTGTGGACTCAGCAGTCTGTGTGTGTGTGGACTCAGCAGTCTGTGTGTGTATGGACTCAGCAGAGTCTGTGTGTTTGTGTGTGTATGGACTTAGCAGTCTGTGTGTGTGTATGTGTGTATGGACTCAGCAGAGTGTGTGTGTGTGTATGGACTCAGCAGTCGGTGTGTGTACGGACTCAGCAGAGTCTGTATGTGTGTATGGACTCAGCAGAGTCTGTGTGTGTGTATGGACTCAGCAGAGTGTGTGTGTATGTGTATGGACTCAGCAGAGTGTGTGTGTGTGTGGACTCAGCAGTCTGTGTGTGTGTATGGACTCAGCAGTCTGTGTGTGTGTATGGACTCAGCAGTCTGTGTGTGTACGGACTCAGCAGAGTCTCTGTGTGTGTATGGACACAGCAGTCTGTTTGTGTTTGTGTATGGACTCAGCAGTCTGTGTGTGCGTGTGTATGGACTCAGCAGAGTCTGTGTGTGTGTGTATGGACTCAGCAATCTGTGTGTGTGTGTGTGTATGGACTCAGCAATCTGTGTGTGTGTGTGTATGGACTCAGCAATCTGTGTGTGTGTATGGACTCAGCAGTCTGTGTGTGTATGGACTCCGCAGTCTGTGTGTGTGTATGGACTCCGCAGTCTGTGTGTGTATGGACTCCGCAGTCAATAATTAAAATTCCTGTGAGTTGTGTAGGAAGGGCCCCAGTGTATTGCTTTGCCCAGGGGCCCTTAACTCTGTTAAAATGGTACTGCTTGTGTGTGTGTCAGTGAGCTTCTATTTAGTGAGCATGTGTGTGTCATTTTGACTTGTAGGAATGGCATACATTTTTTTTCCAGGGCTGCTTTGGATTCCCAGTTTGGCTCTGCCAGCGAGTGCACTTTACCGCTGAATAACCTGTGTGAGCTGCCGCACACTTTAGCCCTGTTACACGCGTCTGGGAGCTGCTGTTGACAGGTACAAGTAATCTAGAGATTGGGGTATATGCTCAGCTATCTGTATAATACAGATCTGTGTGTATAAAATATCCCGGGATAGTCAGTGCTTCCTGTATAGTGCTGCTCTCTGTTTTGGGATTATACAGAGAGCAGCACTATACAGGGAGCACTGAGTGTCCCAATTTATTATACAGAGAGCACTGACTGTCCAGGGATATTATACCCAGACAGTAATTGATAGCTGTACTGCAAAATGTCCTTGGAAATTTTTTTTCAAATGTTGGCAACTATGGCACTGTATCAAGGATAATGTGTTTGTTTTTTAATAATCCCTGGTGGAAAATCATGATTCCTCCACCAGGTATTATTAAAAAAACAAAACACATTGTGTCGGGGGCGTGGCTTAACATGTGACAGGGGCGGGGTCAAACTGCGGCGAGGGCGGGGTTAAATGTGCCCCCCTACTTTTGTCACTGGCCCTCCATGTGCCCCCCCGAAAAATGAATCCTAGAGACGCCACTGCGAATAATATACTAGATTGCCTACTTACAACCAGATGAGGATGATGATGGGCTCTAGCTGCAGTCTGGCTCCACTGGTCTGGTGTAGAACAGGCTCTCTGGAGGCTGTTTGTAACTGTGGCCACAAAAATCAATGTTCTGGGAGAACGGGAAGCAGCTCCATTTTTTTTAAGGCCCTTTACACAGCTCAAGGTCTGGGTCCCAGGGTCCACCTTCATGTTCCACCAATGAGTTTCAATTCTCCCCCCCCTTTCCTACCATTTTTGTAGCATGGCCGAGCGCTGTATCATGGTCCGCGGGTACAGGTAGCTTTTGTTTCCTGTACCCGGCCGGACTAACAGGAAGTGCACACTGTACTTCCTGTTAGTCCGGCCGGGTACAGGAGACAGATGCTCCCTGTACCCGCGGACCAATAGAAGGCTACAGAGAGGGAGTGAGAGGAGGGAGCGCTGAGTGCTCCCTCCTGTCAGCCCCTCTCCTCAGGCTGCGCCCAGGCGGTGTGCCCTCATGGACGCACCGCCCGGGCAAAGCTGCAGCCGCCTGAGGCTCTCTGCAGAGTGCTCGGACGGCTGCAGCATGAGGGGGGCCTGCGCTAGTCCGCCTAACAGGTAGCGCCGGCCCTGATCTTTCCTCTCCCACCCCTTTTCTATTAGTGGTCTCTTCCTCCCCCCCCCCTTTCCATTAGTGGTCTCTCCTAGGGGGAAGGGGGTAAACAGAAGCACAAAAGGGCTGGTAGGACTCAGCCCCTATCCAACCCCACAAACTCTCTCTTACACACACACACACAATGCTTCCCTGTACATACACAGAAACACACAATGCATCCCTACACACACAGAAACACACCATGCTTCCCTTACACACAGAGAAACACACAATGCATCTATTACACACACACACACATACACAGAAACACACAATGCATCACTTACACACAGAAACACACCTTGCACCCCTTACACATACAAACACAGATTCACACAATGCATCCCTTACACACAACCAGAAAAACACAATCATCCCTTACACACAAACACACACTGTTTTCTATCCCTTACACAAAAACACACTGCATCACCTACACAAACTGGTATCCCTATACACTACATTCTATAGGCACACACTTTAGATCCTCTACAATAACACATAACACATCCCTTACACATCCCTACACACATAGAAACACAACATGCTTCCGTTACACACAGAGAAACACACAATGCATCCATTACACACACACACACACACACACACACACACACACACACACTGCAACCCTTACACATAAAGACAATGCATCCTTTTCACACATACACAGAAACACACAATGCATCCCTTACGCACACATGCAAACACACACTGCTTCTCTTACACACACAAACACAATGCATCTCTCAATGCACCCCTTACAGACACACACACACTCAATGCACCCCTTACAGACACACACACTGCATCCCTTACAAACACAGAAACACACCCTGCATCCCTTATACACAACACACACCGCTTTCTATCCCTTACAGACAACACACTGCATCACCTACACAAACTGGTATCCCTATACACTACATTCCATAAGCACACACATTAGATCCTCTACAATAACATATAACACATCCCCTACCCACTCCACTCCCTGTGAGCGAACTCATGGGTGGAACATATAGGTGGACTTATGGGTGGGCCTTATGGGCATACTCACCTTCAGGCCCTGGGGCCCAGACCTTGAGCTGTGTAAGGGGCCCCAAAAAATGAACATTGAATTTTGTGACCAGAGTTACAAACAGCCTCCAGAGATCCTGTTCTACACCAGACCAGTGGAGCCAAACTGCAGCCAGACCCATCCTTGTCTGGTTGTAAGTAGGTAATCTAGTATATTATTAGTGACACTAATCTCTAATTTACCTCACATTAAAGGGACACTATAGTCCCCAGAACCACTGCAGCTTAATGAAGTGGTTCTGGAGTCTATAGCCTGTTTCTGCAGGCTTTTTAATGTAAACACACACTGTGTGCAGCACTAGCGTTAGTTCATATGGCAGATCATATGGTTGGGGCATTGTGATGTCACAAGGGGGGGTGGTAAAATTTTCTTTTACCTAGGGCATCAAATATCCTTGCACTGACTCTTGCAGGGTCTAGCAAGCTATTAACATAACAGGGGATAAGAAAATCTAAATTTAACAGAACTTGCAATAAATAAATAAATAAAGGATAAACTGTAGATGACTCTTTACAGGAAGTGTTTAGGAAGGCTGTGCAAGTCAAATGCAGGGAGGTGTGACTAGGGTTCATAAACAAAGTGATTTAACTCCTAAATGGCAGAGGACTGAGCAGTGAGGCTGCATGGGGCATGTTCTATACACCAAAACTGCTTCATTAAGCTAAAGTTGGTTTGGTGATTATATGTCCCTTTAAGGATACGTAAGAGAAGATACAAAAAGTATCTTCTCACTGATACCATCGAGGTGAGTAGCTGCCTAACTGGGCCCAAAGACATATAAAGTGTAAGCTAAATAATTAGCTCTAACCCATGTGAGTGGCTCTTTTGGATTTCTGTTGTATTTATTTCTTTTGTACTTGTATACTATGCTATAATGTGCATTATCAGCTTTTGTTCACTAACCTGTTCCAGGTTTTCTGAAAGCTGGGATCCATGGTTAAATAATTATATTAATTTGCAGTAAAGATATGGTTTACTTTATAGGATGAGACGTGTGCACCAATCTTTTTCCCTTCCTCTCTAAAAGTCAGGTTTGTGATGGCATGTTTTATGTTTTATAAAAAACAAACTTTTAGAAAGAAACTGTTGACCAAAGCACTTCTGTATTTTTTTAATTAAAGAATTCTAGATTGATTGATTGTCATAATGTTAACTAATTTGATTTTTTTTTTAAATTAAAAGTTAAAAGACCATGACCACCTCCCTCTTATAGAAACGTCTTTTTAAATGCTCTTAAAATCACAGAGATGTGTGTAGTCTAAAACCTAAGGGCTCATTTATATTAATTACTTTGCTTTTTGTTTTCCATCTGTTCCAAAAAGGTTTAGCACATTAAAGAAATTAGAATGTGACAGCAGGGCTGGTGCAAGCATTTTTGACTACTCAGGCGAAGATGCATTTTGTTAGGGGATCAGTGTGGCAGAGTAAGGGGAATGTGGTAGGTAGGGTGTGTAGTAGGGAGAGCGGTGACTGTGTCAGAAGTGTCAGAAAGGGAGAATAAACAGTCATTTACTATATATTTATTTCCCCCCTCCTGCTTAGCTTCTGTGCAGACAGGGGGACAATATTTCCTCCCATGGTTCCAAAGGGTCCCTGGTGGTCTGGTGGGCAGCTGATTCACTCCCTAGTGGTACAGTGTGCTGCTAGTGGACTCCCTGGTGGTCCAGTGTGCTGCTAGTGGTCTTCCTGGTGGTCCAATGTGTTGCTGGGGCAGCTGCACTCCTGCGTGGTCCTGGCGCTCTGCGATGACATCAGAGCGCAGGCTGGAAACCTGGTACCTGTGCTCTGACACTACAGAGCACCGGGACTGCGTAGGAATGCAGCTGCCCTTGCAACAAACTGGACCACCAGCGATCTCCCTGCTGGCTCAAGGAAGGGGGCCCGATTAGAGCTGGAGATTCTGACGGCGGCCTCCCTTCACATGGCACCTGGGCCGGGGGGTCACTTTCACCTACACTCCCCCACACTCCTTGGGCACAGCATGCAGCACCTATTTCTGGCTATTGTCAGAGTAGGTGCAGCAAGGGATCAGCACTCCCTCGCTGTGCCGAATCATTTGATAGCCCGAAATAATAGGCGAATGTCAGGCCCCCTCAGGACCACTGGGCCCGTGACAACCATCATGGTTGTCACCCCTAATGGCAGCCCTGGTTGCAGGACTCACACTCTATGCACAACCTTTTATTTTATCATTTTATAAACAGTTTTCTAAACCTGTTAAATCTTCTGAAGGCTAAAAGGAAAGGCCATGGTTCTTGCTCAATAAGTTTTTCCTATACAGAAGTTAATTTAACATTATAATTAGCTAGTTTTGTTCTTTATGCACTTTAAAAGTAGTGTATCTAGTTTTAGGTAAATGGATATACAAGTTCATGAGATTTTGATATATTTAGGGTTACTCCAACAACAAAAAAATGTGTTTTTCCCCCCTCCTCCTCCTTAAAAAATTGCATCTTTACCTGTGTGTCTCTTGACCTCCCTTTTAAAATCTTTACCCCCTTATGTGTTTATTATCCCATCTTTTCAATGCCTTACTCCTTTTGTGTTTAAGGTCTCTTACTTTCCACCTTTAATTTCTCTTACTTTCCCTCTTTAATGTTGTGGTGAAAGTAACCTCGCCACTGGTTCTTGGAGGGGCCTTTTTGCCAGCCTCCTGCCCTGTGACTGTGGACCCTGTAATGAACTTTGGGTTAAAGACTCTGGTTGTGCCTGTTGGACGTACAACAGAAAAATTTGAACTTTGAAGAGGCACTTCGAATTCCCAAAGCCATTCGAAGTG